CCCCACCCCCAGCCGGCCTTTCCCGGGGCCAGAAGGCGGCGGGGCACTGCCGAGCTGTGGCGCAGGAGCCCTAGGGGCGGGAGGACCACCTGGGGATCCTGCAGAGCCTGGCCGGCCCGTCCCCACTCCAACTTAAAACTGCCCCGAATGAGAAGCTTTGTGGCGGGCTCAGGTCCAGGCTGCCGGGGTGCGGCCTTATGCGAGTGACTCCACCGCTCTGGGCCTCATCCTAAAGTGGGGCCACCAATAATCCCCATCGCCTAGAGTTGTGGAGATGGGATGCGTTACGCCACGTAAAACACTCCGATCGGTGTGGTACAAAATAAAAAGCAAGCAAGTGTGATTTAAATCAATTTCAAAAACACTACCTAGTGTGCACAAAAGTCTGCCGCTCCCAACCCCAGCCTCAGAGGAAGAATTAGCTCCTACTCCACCCCTGCAGGGTGTTAATGAATCTTATCTTGCCTCAGGCAGTCTTCAGAAGGGCCCTGTGGGGCTAGTCTAGAGCCTCATTTTACAGATGGGGAACTGGAAGCACAGAGAGGTAAATCTACACAAGCAAGGGTTCAAAGGCAGGATGGGCTGACTCCAAAGCCTAAGCGCTTCCAATGAACCGGCCAAAAGGGCAACAAGCAAGAGACTCCTTGTGACTGACCCCTGGTGGAGCTGGCTGTGTATCACAGGGCAGGGCCCCAAGCCCTGGGGGTCAGGCAGTAGCTCAGATCTCCCCAGCTGTGTAACACTGGGCAAGGACTCTTCTCTGCCTGGGCTTCTGTCTCTCCAACTGTAGAATGTGTTGCTACGAGGCAGCTAAATGGGCCAATGCCTGGCTCATGATAGGGGGCTAGTCATTGGCAGCCCGGTTATTTCTGTGCCCACTAATATCACTACTAAAGCTCCATGGAGCCAGTCCTTCCTAAGAGATGGGGCAGCATTCAGAAGTGGCAAGGAGGCATTCCTGAAGGGGAACAACAGGGTCCTGGACAGACTGCAATACGAAATAAGAGTGGGGCATCTGGAGGTCCCTGAGACGCAGAGAGTACTGTAGCTGACAACATTCTTTATCCCATGCCCCCAGCCTCTCCCCGTGCCATGTGCTGTGCCTTCCAGAAGAAGCAAGAGAGCCCTCTGCCACTTGTCTGCTGGGAAGAGAAAACAGGCAAGGCCTATAATGGCTTAACCCAAGGCCTGGCACAGAGTGTTTCACTTAAATCATGATTCCTGTGACTGTGACTGATGGGAGGTGAGGAGGCTAGCTGCTGAGCAGGAGGACTTCCCCAGCCAGGCTGACACTGCCCAGCCAAGGCTTCCAGCCTGTCCAACTGCCCACTCCCACCCTCTTTCTCAGTCTCTTCTCCAAGCAGGTGCCCAGAGGAGGGGAGACTAAAGACAGAGCTGGTGACCCTACTTCTCCTGGACTGAACTTCATTTCCCTCAAGTGATGTGGGACAGCACCTGGGCCTGGCTCACACCCAGACCACAGCGGCGCCAATGGGGCACAAAGTGGCTACCACACTGCAGGACTGACAGTTATATTCTTGGAATGACCATCCCTCTTTGGGCCTCAGTTTCCCCATCTGAAAAATGAGAGGACTGATCTAAATAATTTCTAAGTGCCTGTGAAGAATGGAATCCTCTAGGCTGGGGAAAACAAACCAAAAACTGGAAGCCTATCTACTTAACTTTGCATTAACAGCAGACATTCACAAAAGCCCTTGGTCTGAGCCGAGCATACACCAGTTCACTTATACCCACCATCTAAGCCTCACAACAGCCCTACAAAGGAGGCTTCCCAGTCCCAAGAAGGTGAGGAAGCAGAGGAACAGCCATGGTGGGCACTTGCCAAGGGCTTGTAGCTGGCAGGTGGGCAGCCGGTCTGGAACCCAAGACCAAGATGGAGGAGGGCCAGGAGGCATCCCCAAATCATCCGGTCAAACGAGGCTCCCAGAAGTCTCCTGAGGGTCACAAAAGGCAGTCATGAGGGCCCACCTAGGGGCCTCAAAATGTTTAGAAACAAGTGGGCCTGTAGTTCTAGCTACTTGGAAGGCTGAGGCGGAAGGATTGCCTAAGCCCAGCAGATGGAGGCTGCGGTGGCCATAAGTGTGCCACTGCACTCCAGCCTGGACGACAAGAGTGAAGACTCCAACTCACAAAAGAAAAGAAACAAGTGGACACTGGGCCAGGGCACAGGTCACAGAAACTTGGAGGGATTCTGTTTTGGGAGCCCTGGGTTCCTTCCCTCCTCACTGAAGCTCTGATGGGCATATATGCTCATACCTAAGATAGATAAAAGTGGGAGAAAGAACTTGTCATTCACAAGGACTTCAGTTTAGAGAAGAAAATCAAAGAATGGAGTCTCTGGAGAAGGAAAAACAGCCAACAGTGCCCTGAAGGCCAGCAAGCTGGTGACCACAGTCCTGACTCAACGCCTTCCCATTGCAGAAGCTGAGAGAAAGGGGCAGGGACATGCCGGGGACTTGGTGCTCCTGTTGCCCAACCTGGGCATCTTCCTATCAGCTCTCTGGTTCCCTTTTACTGCCCCTTGTACCCAGGGTCCGAGTCCATCTTTGACCAGCCTAGGGGGGAGGGGATCCTCCTTCAGCCCTCCAGGGTATTTAGGAAGGGAGTATGGGGTGGGGGCTCAGAGTCAGTGTTGGAGTGTGTTATCTACATGCCAGCCAGCAAGCCCAATTGTCAGGATTCATGCAGGTCACCCTGAATGGGTATCCAGCCTTCACCCCACAAAGCCATGTAGCCTGTAAGAGGAGAGCAGTGCCTGATTACTGAACCCATTTTGCAGAGAGGGACACTGAGGCACTATGGGCTGACCCACCATCACTCTCCTCCCCCACAGAATGCCCCCAGAACCCAATACCAGGCCAGCCCCCACCAGCACTACAGAAAGCCCCAGGCCCTGACAGCAGAGGCTCTGGGCAAAGGGGGTTTCCATGAGTCAGTCTCCAGGAGGCGGGGCAGGGGGTGGGGCTCCCACAGGCCAATGGGGAGGCCCACGACTAGCTCATTCCCTCCCCCTCCCAACAGGTTATTGGTTAGTAGGTGTTGCTCACTGGGCCTCAGCAGGAGATATGGAGCCACTGCAAGAGGTCTTTGTCGCAGCTCCCTGCCCCCCAGCTCTGAGATGGGAGATTGGGAAGATCTAGTTCAAGTCCCAACTCTACCTCCACTAGCTGTGTGACTTGAGGCAAGCTGCTAACCCCCTCAGAGCCAGTTTCCTCATCTTGAGCAGGCATGATCACACCTACCTTACAAGGTTGTATGGGAACCCACTCTGTAGACTAGAAACAGCCATCCAAAGGCAAGGGAGACTGAGGTTGTGCTCAGGCTCCATGGCACAGGGCCGCATTCTCCACTGCTGGAAGTCCCTCATGCACCTGGCACTGTATCTGCTGCAGCTTGGGGACCCTCCTGTCCAGCAGCCACCTCTGAAGCCAGATGCTGGGCCTTCACCTCCCAGCTGCCAGGAAAAGCCAGAGAGGAGGGACGAAGAGAAGCTGAAGAGCCACAGCCAGTAGAGGGGAAACTGAGGCCCAGAGATGATTATTTAATCCAGGTCAGCTGTCCAGTTACAAGAGCAGCTGGAGCTGAAAGCTAGGCAGGGAGGGGCAGGAGGTAGGTGGGGGACGGACAGGTGGACAGACACACACGGGAGCCTTACTTTGGGGGCCATCCTTTCCACTTCACCAGATATTCAACTTTGCCCTGTGAAGAGAGAAGCAGACATGGTCAGACCTCTGCAGACAGGTGTCCCCAACACACCCTCACCAACCAGACCCAAACTATGGCTGCTGCATGGCCACACCAGACTGCACTCCCTCCTGGAGCACAGGCAGGCATCAGGTCCCAAGCATCTCTACAGCTCCTGTGGCCCAAGCTCCGAGCTCATGTCACACATGGGGCCACTGAGACCATGAAGGGGTGTGTGTGCGTGGCCAAAGATCCAGTGTACAAGGCCCCAGTCCCAAGATCATAATGCTGACTTTTCTTATAGACTAGAAGACTCTCCATATCCAAGAAAATTCTTCCCATTCTCTCTCCCCACTCCATCAATCAGCGGGGTCTCCGGGAGAGGCTGCCTCTGACCCAGAGGCAATGGCCGTGACTTGAGGACTCAACTCATAAGGTAGGACTTCAAGGAAGACTGACAGTGTCCACCTTCAGAAAGGGTGGTCAACCCTCTGATCCTTAGAAAATAGAGCCAGACCCCTCCCTTTCTCACAGAGGCCTTTTAAAAGTTTTTAGTCCAACCACGTTCAGTGGGTGAAGTCTCTATACTAGAACTTGAAGACTAAGTCAAGGCACCTCCTCCGAGAGGCCTTCCCAATACTGTCCTCCCTGGCACCTACAGTTTTACCTCTGCAGAGCACACAGCATCATCTGAAGGCATCTGTATTTAGGTCCTCGTTCCTTGTGTGCCTCCTCTGCAGAATGCCAGCTCCCTGAGGGAAGGGAGCTTAGGATGGTGCCTGGTACATGACAGAGCCTCAGTAAATGTTTTGGGTGACTGGCCGAAGGAATGATGGCCTCTCTCTCTCTCACCATCCCTGGGCCTCATTGTCAAGGGGAGTAATCGTTGTACCTGTTTCAGGCTACACAGTATGGAAAGCACTGAGCTTGGTGGAATAAATTAATCCTCTTTTAAGTCAAGGAAACCCTAGGAGAAGGGAGAAGGAGGAGCTGCAGCCCTAACCAGAAGACAGAGCTAAACCCCAGGTGCAGTGGAGGGAAGAAAAGATGCTCATGATCACCTTGACCTTCACCCTTGGCCCAAGACACAAGGACTGGGTCTTTTTATGGAAAAAAGATGGGCTGGCAATCAGTCCCCTCCGAGCGCCTACTCTACCTCTACCTCGAACTTGCTCTGTGACCTTGAGCAGGTCACTTCCCCTGCCTGGGCCTCAGTTTTTGCCTCTGTCAAATGGGAGGAGGGAACCACTAAGGCCCCTCTCAGCCTGCCCGGAGCCTCCCAAAGTGCTGCCAGGAGGAGACAAGGATAAAGGACAGTAGTGAGTGCCAGGAGAGGAACTCGCCCCTCCCCCCAGGACTTCCCCAAGCCCAACCTCCAGCCTTGGGCAAGCCCACTCGGCAGACGTGCACAGGAAGTGTAGACACCAGGCTGGGACAACCAAAGACCAGCCTGAGGTGGACAGTCCTGAACCCCGCAGAACAGCCGCCTCCTTAAATTGCAGGGTGTATGTTTTGAAGGCGAAGGCTGAGAGGGAGGAGCCTGGAGGATGCCCCAGCGCCGGAGGCGGGCTTCAGAGTCCAGGCCAGGGCAGGAGTGGGGGGTGGGGGAAAGAGGGATATGCACTGGAGGGGAGGAGGGGTAGGGATCAGAAAAGGTCAAAGTCCAGAAGGAAAACTTCAGCGGCAAGAGGACACTTATCCAAAGCTCCGCTTCCAACTTCAAAGGACTTGGTGTCAAGAGTCCAGAGTCCCGAGTTCGAGACCCAGCTCCGACGCTAATGCACTGGGCAAGTCGTCACAACTTGGGCCTCAGTCTCCGCATACTCATAATGAAAGGGGGACGAGGCGAGCTAGAGCTCAGGATCCCTACCGTCCGATCCTAATCTCCAGTTCAGGCGGGCTCAGCTGCCCCCAGCATCCCGAGGAGACAACTTTTATTCGACTCGTTCTACACGATGGCGGGGAAACTGAGGCACGCGCTGGGGGGAAGGGCCCGGCAGCGCAGGGCTGCCTGGGTCCTCGGCCCGGCGTGGAGGGGGCGGGGCTGGGGACGCGAGGGGCC